ATCCCCTGGAGTACCACATCGGCGATAGAGTCGGCAACGGCGTCGGGATTGTCCAGATTGAAGCAAACCTGCCCCCATGGGTAGGATGCATAGAAGGACCGCATCCTATCCCAATCTGCTGACCTGTAGTGCCAAACTCGACGAAGACCAATCGGTTGTGACCGAAAACGTCTGGAGATTGGCACTGTTGTCCGGATCAGGCAGTGGTCGGACGACCCTAAAGGGGCGTCAACGGAAACCAAATAGCTGTCCGGATGCGTGGTCAGCAGAAGGTCCAACAGGGAAGGTAAGTGATCAACAACATCTGGGATTCGCGTAGGCGAGGTAACCAGCTGTGTTAGATCATATGCTAAGGCAAAGTCATGAACAGACCTCCCCGCGTGATCCGTGGTACGTGAGCCGAGCCATTCGGCATGATGGGCATTAAAATCACCAAGTACCACGACTTCTGCAGAAGGGATCTGCTCAAACACGGAGTCTGTGCCCATTTGGACTAGCTCCATGAGTTGGTCTGTATCGGTGTTTCCGCCATGGGACCTATAAAGGCACGCGTAAACTCGCGGATGATCATCGCTATCTACGCGCAGCCATAAAACGGATAGGTCCCGGCCTTCAAGATGGTCGAGGCGACGAGAGCAGATATCTTCACGGACGTACACGCACACCCCAGCCCGTGGTAAAAAACGGTGTTCGAGCTTGTATCCGGGGTAGTGTAGGAAAGAAGTGTCCGCCGGAGAAGATATCTGTGTCTCTGTAAGAAAGAGCAAGGCCGGCTTGGTCGTCTCAAGGTGATAGTGGACGGCTTCAAGGTTGGAACGGAGTCCCCTGACATTGCAGAAGTCCACAGAAAGTGTGGCAGGGGATGTTATGTGGCGCTTGCTACGTTTGCCCCGACCAGTAGCACAGAGCGGGATGGTGCCCCCCCCAGAATACGCGGGGCAGCCCGCGCGCTTACTCCCAGACTCCAAGCGAGAGTTCAGGCGTAAACGCGCGGAAGGGGATTCTCCAAAACGGGTGGTTTTGGTACCCCCCTGGGGTAGATTTTCTTTACATCCCACTGTCATGCCTTTGGGGGGGGGGGCGGTTGCCTCCGGGACACACACTCATCAGGACGAAACGCGGAATTTCTTCCACTTCACGCCTGTCTTCGTGCGGTCGTGGTATTTCACCGGGCGAGCGGGCCATTCGTGCAACCAGCAAATACTGGATGCGGACTCTACCACTGTTAAAATGAATGATGACTGACTGACCTTTGAATTGTCAAAATAAGTTTAGTCGTTTAGTCACAATGAAACTTGGTCAGTTGGGTGAAAAAAGGGTTTTTTTCCATTATTAATAAAAATAAATTAAAGATAATTTACCAAGTTCTAAATACATGAATAGTATGAATACATAGTTATGCAACTGATGTCAGGCCAAGGCCGTGTCTCAACGACGCCTGAGTCCTGACCTGTCCCACGAAACTATTAATCATACTTGCTG